TTGGGGGGTGGGGTGGGAGGGAGAACTTTTGTTTTTGATTCATTTATTATAGAATTCATAAGCATTTTCTAACTGTATGTATCTTTTTACTTTTAGCTTTTATAAGAGAAATTATCAAGGGGGTGTCAGTTTGTATTCTAGAATGTCAGGGTTTATAAGGACTATTAAATACCACTATACTTATATTTATGCACCCCTTTAAAACTGCACATTTTTGTCAAATATCATAAAAGTTTAGTCCTCTGGCTTTTCAGTGAGGATCTGCCGGGATCCTTGTGCCTTTGCTTCTCTCTGCCTGAAAGCGTGTTTTTAAATGTTTCTCCCTTCTTTCACAAGAGCTGGCCATTAACATTGCTTGTCCTTGACTCAGGAGGTCCCAGACCTTATTAGGTCAACAAATTCTTGTGGCTTGCCTACTAGGACTTGTGACAGTCTAGTAGTAGCCTGCCTTTGTTGGCATAGGTTTTCGGAATAGATATCCTGGATTGCTTTTCAAGTTCTAATTTACTAATATTTTCCTGGTAACTTCCTCTAAGCTCTCTGTTTTCTAATAAATTACTGGTATACTTGGAATATGTTGATTAGGTTCCTTGTGTGACTTCTCTAAGCATGTTTTGTACCTTATTACCCTTCCTAGCACAGTGTTGTCTAATTTTACACAAGTCTAATGGTAGAAATGTAATCATGGCCTTCAGATGATAAAAGATAGTGCATATTCAAAGGCCGTGGTTACTGTTAAATATTTTACATCACCAAATAGGATACCAAATGTTGACAAAAATATGAACGGAAGTTGTCAAAATCTCTATCTTGTTGGGAGATAATACTTTTACCTTGCTAGATAAAGGATATCAAAATATCAGTAATGATAAAGTTAATAGCACAATTAACAAACTTGACCTAATGGCCACATATATAACATTGTACCCACAATGGGGAATACTTTTTATTTCCATGTACTCGTGGAAAAGTTAAAGACCCACATAAACACATGCACACACATAGAGGTCTACATATTTGGAATATATATTTCACTTATTTCAGGAGATGAGTATCCTGCAAGTTCTATTATCTAACCTAATGTAATAGGCATAAGACTTACTTGGAAAAAGTAAAACTTTGTTTATACATTCTAGAAACACACCTGTAAACAGCTAAATAATAACAAAAATAAATTTGTGGCACGCTGTAGTTAAAGTGGTTAAGGGAAATTTATAGGCCGAAATGCTTACAATACTAAGCTTGAATGCTTAGAACAAAAGAAAGGCTTAAAATTAATGAGCTATGCATTCAAGTTAAAAATGTAAAGCAACAGCAGAATTAACATGGATAAATTATGGTGACATAAAAAAGCAGAGTTTAATGAAATAGAAAATAAGTGTGCAGCAGAGGAGATCATCAAAGTCAAGCAATAGTAATTTGAAAAGAATAATAAGACAAACCTCTGTCAAAGTTAAAAATGGAAAAAAAACATTAGGAATGAAAAAAGATACGTAACTACAGATGCCATAGATACAAAAGATAAGTATTTTACAACTTTGTGCAAATACTTTTGAAAAACTTAGATGAAATAACTTTTTCTAGTGATATATCAAAATCGGTTTAAATAGAAAACTGAAGTAGTTTTATAATTCTAACCAGTGAAGAAATAGAATCAGTCGCAAATATCTTCCCACAAAGAAATACTGGACCCAAACAGCTTAATGGGTAAATTCCAAGAACAGATAATTCTCATCTTTTTTTTTTTTCTTTTCTTTTTTTTCTTTTTTTAACAAACTCTTCCAAATAACAAAAATGTGGCCCTGTTCAACTCATTGAATAAGGCTAGCATAACAAAAACAGACAATACAATTCAAGAATGTAATCTACAGAAAAAAAAAAAAAGGAAATTTGCAGGCTAGTCTCAATCACGAATATTGATACAAAATGCCAAACTTCAGCATTCTAATTTTTTTTTTAGGGAAATTAGGTTTATCTCTGAAAAGCAAGAAAATGCTGAACCACTGCGATTACTGATCATCTCAGTAGGTACAGGAAAAAGTTTAATACAGCATTCATTTCTGGATTAGATAGGTAGGATCTGTCTATGATCTATATCTGATACATATGATAGCTATGATATATCTAAGACCATGCATAAAATGTACCTGCTTCCAGGGCATAACAGATACACCATAATATATGTCACATATATATGTGTGTGTGTGTGTATAAAACACATACTCTGATTTATTTGTGGGTATCTAGTGAACTAGGAAGAGAATTTCCTTTACCCATGAAAGACCAACTACAAGACACCTGGAGCAATGATCACCCCTAGAGGTAAAATGCTAAAAATATTCCCTTTAAAAAGAAATTTAAGACAATTATGAATATAGAACCCAGAATCCTAGCTACTCTGGTGGTAGTGTGGGGTTGGGATGAGAGGAAGATGTGACCAGAGCACAAAGAGGACTCTTCTGATATACTGGTATGTTCTGCCTCTGAACCTGAGTGGTGGGAATGCTGATATTTATTCTTTAAACTGCATCTCATTTTGGACACTTAATGTATGATTTACATAATGAAATGTTTTTAGTGAGTAAACAAGATGTCTAGTGAATAAAGATTTAGAGAAGTCGGGGTGGAAAATTTTTCCTTCTAGTTTCCTTGGCTGGTCTAATAATTGACATAAGACAGATTAACAGGAGAAAAACAAATTTAATTTGAATGTATATGAAATATGAGGCTCCAAGAAGTGACCAAAGCAAGCTGCTTTGATATTTCTTAGACAAACAATAAATTTATGAAGAATTGATAGAAGCTTGAGCTCTGGGGATGGTTAGTAAAGAAGTAATGAGGTTTGCTTATACAGTCTCTTTGGCCTTAAATTCCCTGTTTCTGGTAATAAGGATGTTTTCTACCTTCCAGTCCGGATGGCTGGGGAGGGAACCTTTCATGTGGGAGATGTATTTCCTGGTTTTAGGGGCACAAAGAAGGAGTCAGACTATCCTTATTGCACTCCCTGTGCTAAAATGGCATATATTGGAGTGGCCCGTCCGGAACTATCAAAGAATAGTTGTTGAAGATGTGTGTTCTTAAAGGATCTGAGATAGAAGGCAGTTTCCTGGGAGTTCACAGGCTCATGAGTGAGCACAGTTCTTTACATACATATTATTGTTTATTTGTCTTACTCTAATGGAACTGGCAGCGCCTTTCCCTTCACGTGTTGTCCTTGCACAGGGCCTCGCTAATCCTGTCTGTATTGTTCCAGTTTTAGTATCCGTGCTGCAGAAGAGAGCACGCCTTTCCCTTCATGTAAAGTGGCAGGGAGATGGGGTAAAAGATGAAACTCACTGCGTCCCCCAGTGATGGTTCGCGGGGTCGTCAGTATTTTTCTCTTTGGAGAACTGCGCCTTGATGTAGATGGGGAATTGCAAACAGTCATATAGAATACAGTGTAAGTACTTTTTGAGGGATTTTGACATTAGAGGAAAAAACCAACAAAGGAATGCTTATGAAGAGAATTAGTTTAAAAGATGAGCAAATTCTATGTAGCCCTATTAGGCTGTGTGCACATGACGACAACAGATCTTTGATTTCAGTTGAAAGACAATTTCGCAAAGGGTTGGTTTGCCATGTTTAATCACGTGGCACCAAATAAAGATGAATATGTCCCGGGAATTTATTCCAGAGCTGTCACGTGGATGGCCTTGACTGTTCAAGGCTGAAGATTCCACACACTGAATTGAGAATTTTTCTTCCTTAATTCGAATCCATTTTCATTTATAGTCTTACTTCAGCTCTACTTTTTCTCAGACCATCTTAATTCTATGAAATGGCAAAAATTCTTGGCTAAACCTTTTCTAGACATCTCAAAAATTAGGCCTCTTTTCCATCCTAATTGAACCCCTCTTTTCCCTCTGGCGCATGACTTTAATTTCAGGAGAACAAATTGCCTCTGGATACTAGTTTCCTCGGTCACTGAAATGGCCTCTGCTTTACTGTGCTCACATAATGCTGTTATCACTGCTGCAGTAGGAGAGGAAGACGTCACAGTTACTCAATTTTTATTAGACTTTCCCCCATTTTTTTTGTCTATCCCAAGCTTTCTGAATATGGTTTATAAAATAAAGTTCAGATAATGCCTTGAAAAGGGTAAATTTTTTTTTAAAAAACAATATAAGAAAATCCATATTTTTATATGGCAACTTATTTGTCGCGGGGGTCCTTATTTTGTTAAATCCCACTTTTGTGTGTTTTTCTCAATGGCATTTTCTTCCTGCTATGCTACATCGCATGTCTGTGATCTCAGAGTTAGGAGAAATATTGATAAGATTTTTTAATATCAGGTGTGTGCCAGTCGTGTTTGTAAATAAGCTAGGATGAATTGGTGTGTGGTAAAGCTGAGATGCTACTAATTAAAAGATAAGCCAAGAAAAATGTTATTTTGTTATGATGATTTGAAAAGCCAGATGTCAACAGACTAACTCCATGCCTAGGAGAGTGTATTGGGAAATTAACTGCAAAACATTCATATTTTTATAATGCTTATTTCTTTCCTTTTGGTAGGAGCTTTTAAAAATCATATAAATTAATAGACTTTCCAAGAAGTGATGGGGTAAAGTCTTCAGTATGCAAAAAAAGGTTTCCACGAAACCGTGGGGTTATAATTTACACACACACACACACACACACACACACACACACATAATTTAAATTTGAATAAATCATACATTTCAGTGGCTACATATCTTTACCTTAACCTAAATTCTCACTGTACACTTTTATACTCTAATGTGCTAATTTTTAGAACAGCTTTGAAATTATTATAAGCTGTAAAACTTATTGTTATTTTTCTTCTTGACTGTGCCATCTGTCAGAAACAAAAGCAAAGATAAAAATCTCATTGAGCCATGAAAGATTCTGTATTGCTTTAATGGGACTTCTAAGGAGATACATCTGGCTGGAAAAAATATTAATGCTGCATCTTCAAGAAAATCTTTGTTCCTTTATTGCAGATGGGGAACTCAAGGTGATTTTACCACCACCCATCCTCGGCCTGTGGTCAAAGTAAAACTCTTCACCGAAAGCACTGGGGTCCTGGCCCTCGAAGATAAAGAGCTGGGAAGGGTGAGTTGTGCTCAACCTTGTGTGTTCAAGGTCACACAATTTTTACTTCTTTCAAGCCATAGTTAAAGTACACTGGTACATAGTGTGTGAATTTTCTGTTTATAAACTGTGTAAAACAATATATTTGTAGTTTTCCACTAGTCCCAGATTACAGCTCCAATTTATTAAACATAATTGTCAATAACATAGAAAGTAGTGTGACAGGCTTTTGGTATGAAAAGGTTGTGTATATAAGATCACAGTCAGACCCACTTTTCTTACACATGCACTGGTCAGTGGATGTGAAGGACAAGCCAACTTGTCCTTCTTGGCGAGAGAGAATTCTTATTTAAACATTTGTGTCGATGAGTTAAAAGCAGCATCTTGATATTTGAAATCCTGTTTGGGTCCATTATGATCAGACTGATTACAAAATACCTAAGGCTACTTCTCTCTTACCTCTCCTATTTTCCCTGTGAGAAGGTCTTTTCCACACATCTTTTAACATTGAATTTTTTTTTAAAGATTTTATTTATTTATTTGACAGAGAGAGACCACTAGTAAGCAGAGAGGCAGGCTGAGAGAGAGTTGGGGAAGCAGGCTCCCTGCTGAGCAGAGAGCCCGATGCGATGCGGGGCTCTATCCCAGGACCCTGAGATCATGACCTGAGCCGAAGGCAGAGGCTTAACGCACTGAGTCACCCAGGCATTCCAAACATTGAATTTTTTATCCTGCATTCACTTCATACCTAGAATATATCCTCTAATGCCAGTATTTCTCCACTGTACTCAGCTTCTTCTGACAGTTAAAAAAGCATTCAGATTAGGGTAGATTTGTGATCTTAACACCTTTCTGTGTGAAAAATCATCTGCAGTTTCATTTATAAAGTAGATGGGCTTCAGTGCGAAGGCTATGAAGTTATCTTCTGTAACATGGATCTCTCTTACCCAAACCTGAAGACTGAATTCATAGGTGTCTTCCAGAGGTTAAAGCCTCTACAAATCTTCCTTGAAAATTTCTGGTGAAGATTGACAGCTTATGTGGTGCTAGATGTTGAAAGATACTGGGATCATTGGGTATATTGGAATTTTTTCCCCTAAAGTTGTGACTATTCATTGCAAATCCTTCTCTTCTGCCTCCTTGAGATTATTTCCATTTCTAGGGATTTTGTGAATCTGTACCCACACTCTAGAGATTGAGTCAATATTCACATTCTGGATTTTGTTTTTTGCTTCCTTGCTACGTGTATTTGTTAAGACTTAGGAGCTAGGCCATACCATTCATTCATGTGCTTACATATTTGTGCACTGATCCATTCATCAGAAGGATACAGGTAGCATAATCACACAGAAGAGCCCTGGATACTACCTTTGGTCTTGCAGATTTATGAATCAGGATTTTTCATTTAAACTATTATTCCATCAATTTTACCCTATTTCCTTAAAAGCAGCCATTCTAAGTCTAAAGCTATAATGTAATGCTTTAGATTTTTTTTTTAAAGATTTTATTTATTTATTTACTTGACAGAGATCGCAAGTAGGCAGAGAGAGAAGAGGAAGCAGGCTCCCCGCTGAGTAGAAAGCCCGATGCAGGGCTCGATCCCACAACCCCAGGATCATGACCTGAGCCGAAGGCAGAGGCCTTAACCCACTGACCCACCCAGGCGCCCCATGCTTTAGATATTTTTAATTCATTTCTCCACTGGCCATATATATGCAGGTTTTAAGTTAGGTATGTAAGTAGTAGGTGTTCCAATCAGTTGTGTGTCTGAGAAAAGCCTCATGCCCCTTTGCTCCCTTCATACAAGACCACTTTTCTTTCTGCGCCAGAGTTTCTGAACCCCAGGACTATTGATATTTTGAGCAGGAAAATGCTTTGTTGCTAGGAGCTTTTCTAGCAGCATCTGTAACCTGCAGTCAGATGCCAGTAGTTCACCAGGTCCCAAATCAAGATGGTCAAAATGTCTGCAGACATTGCCACACATCCCCTCGGAGGTATGTGTCATCACCCTACTTAGAAATCCATTGAACTATACTAATGATCTGAGTAGGTTCTGTGATGATAATTATCATTTATGTGTTAATGACTTCCAGTTTTTTATTTTTCTTTCTTGGATCTTCGGATTTGTATATCCAGTCTGCATCCTTGGTATTTCTAGTGGCATTTAACAGTTATCTCAAACTAAATATTTCTAAAATAGAACTTATGATTAGCACCCCCATAAAGTTTTTCAGAGAGTTCGTTTTCAAGCCAGTGACCTTGACATAGAATATTCCTATCTATTTGCAAGTTCTGTCAGCTTTCCCTAAATTTATTCCGACTATATCCACGTCATAGTATCTCCTGTACCCTAATTCAGGACACCGTCCTTCCTTGCTGGTAATGGTTTCCTCACTACTTCCCCATTTATCATCTTGTCCCCTCTGAGCTAGCTTTCACACTTCAGCTACTATGATCTATTTAAAATTCAAAGCAAATCACATCATTCTCCCTTAAAATATTCCAGTCTTCTCATTTATTTGGAATAAAAATCAGACTCCTCATCATAGTGTAGCATGCCCAAGAATGGTTCTCAGGGTGGGACCCTGAATCCGCATCAGCAGCATCTGGAAAATTGTTCAAAATGCAGATTCTCAGGCCTCGCACTGGCTCTGCAGCACCAGAAACTCTGAAGGCCGTGTGCTGCAGTCTGTTTAACAAGGCCTCCTGGTAATTTCACCAGCGTTGAAGTCCCCTTCTGTACATGCACTGATCTCTTCCTCTGATTTCATCCCCTGTCACAGCCACCTTGCTTACCGTCATCCTTCCTTCATACTCAGCTTTCTTTCTGTGCCTCAGACACACCTGATTCATTCCTGCTTTAAACTTGGGATTTTTGGACAGGTTATAGTCTGAGCCCATGCGTGTACACAGAAGAAATTGGTGATCCTCTCTGGGTCATAGAGCTGCTAGTAATATTTGCTATATATTTACCTACTTTTATACTGGGAAGCAGGAACAGTTTTTTTTTGTTTTTTTTTTTTTGCTTTTTTAATGTGAAGGAAAAGGGCTTACATGATCTGAAGTTTATAGTCTAAACTTTTAGAAATAGATATCTGGGGATCTGAGTTTTAAAGTGAAGTTTTCTAATTAAAATTTTGCATAGCAGTTGCATTCAAAGAGGAGCAACACCGTCCGTGAAATAGATCCCTACCACAAGGAGATACCGCCACTGTACAGCTGGTAAAATGGCTAAGGGAGAAGAAAGCTGACAATAACGAATGTGGACAAAGACGCAGAACAACAGAAACTTAATCTCTGCTGGTAGAAATGCAAAACTATACAGCCACTTCGGGCATACAATTTGCCAGGTGTGGTTTTTATTTTTTATTTTTTTTAAGTGAAACAGACATGCCATATCAACCCAACAGTTGCCCTCTTAGGTATTTACACAAGGGTTTATTAGTAAATATCTGTAGGGGAATGTTTATAACAGCTTTATTCATAATCACTAAAAACTGGGACTCAGGGGCACCTCGGTGGCTCAGTCGGTTAAGCGTCTGCCTTCGGCTCAGGTCATGATCCCAGGGTCCTGGAATCGAGCCCCGCATCAGGCTCCCTGCTCCATGGGAAGCCTGTTTGCTTCTTCCTCTCCCAGTGCTTGTGTTCCCTCTCTTGCTGTGTCACTCTCTGTCAAATAAATAAAATCTTTAAAAAAATAAACAAAAACCAGAAGCCGTAAAGGTCCTTCAACAGAGGAATGGCTGAGCAAACTGGGGTACGTGCATAAAATTCTATTCAGTGATAAAAAGAAATTTACTGTTAAGTCATGCAACAACATAGATGAAACTTCAATGCAAGAGAAAGAAATCAGACCCTTTGCTCCATTTAATCCTCTTTGAGAATGGTGACAACATTCCTGGGTTGAGGCAGAGAAATGAGAATCCGATTAAGACCACTCAGCAAGTGGGAGAGTCAGTATTTGAACTTGGGTGTTTTGACCCCAAAGCCTATGTTCTAAATCATTAACTAGTACACTGGATGAGATGACGAAATTTGGCTGTATTGTACAAATTATGGTATGACTGTGAGCTGATTTAATTTCATGGCTTAAAGCAGGAACAGGGTAATATTTAAGCTAATGTCATTTTATGCATTGTCCTTTAATACATTTTATATCAATTTGTGCCATGGTTCACATCTTATTACAGTACACTGGGGCTGCTCTTTAATGTGACGGTGCTTCTCAACTCCGTGTGTGCGTAAGAACCCCCCGTAGGGAGTGTGTGAAAAGACTCAACCTGTGAGCCCACACTTTTTTTTTTTTTTTCAGTTGGTTTGGGGCGAGCCCAGACCAGGAGTATTTTAAGCACTTTCTCAGGAGACTGTATGTGCATGTAAGGTTGAGAAGCCTCGTGCAAACAGTATCACTGGGCAGCCAGGGATGAGACCTAGTAAGTCACAGGGATAAGAAAAAACCCACTATGGCATATAGTTTTGCAAAATGATAGTACAAGTTTAAGTAGGCATTGGGCAATGGAAGGTTCTATTCTTCAGCAAGTGCTTGTGATGCAGGGCAGGTGCAAACACCTATTTATGGAAATGGAGGTGGCATATGGAGATTTTTCATCTGAATTGGTGGCCAACCCTCCACCAGATGCCTTAGGGAAAACCTGGAGGCAGAAGAACAAATTTTTCATATTATGAGCTTGTGCTAGCAGGCAAATAGTTGACCAGTCAAGCACTCGAAAGTATATAGTTCACCAGTGATTCTGTAATAGTGCTGGATGGTGACAGATGGCAGCTATGCTTGCGGTGAGCAGAGCATAAGGTATCAACTTGTCATATCAGTAACATTGTGTCAACTATGCTCAAAGAAATTTAAAGATGATTTTGTTCCTAAAACTTCAAAAGCAAGGCTTACTTGGCATAGCCGTAGAAAATTCTAAATAATTATGTCCCGGGGCAGCTCTTTGTAGACAGCGAGGTTTCCACTGAGTGTCTCAGAAGGAATTCTTGCACTCCTTAGTAACTTTTAAACT